TCATTCTAATGTCAAAAGCATAACCATCATTCTAATGTCAAAAGCATTAGTGACATGATAACCATCATTCTCCAAAACATGTATAAAATTTGCGACAAATGTTACGACATAAATGAAAAGCTCCTAAATGCCGTCGTAATCATCTCCAAATTCTTCTGTACAATCATTGTCATGATTAGTGGGAGGCACTGCTGAAGAAGACACCTCTTGATTAGTGTTGTGAAGTTTCTCGAGTAGGCTGCGAAGTGAGGACAATTCACTCTCTAATTGCACGTTTTGTTTCTCCAATGCACTCATACGATCGTTAAGCTTTTGGACGTCAATCACACAAGAACCTGAACATGTAGAGCTGTAAAATGGCACCTCGGACCCAAATCCATAAGCTAACCCTTTCTTGTTGCAACCTCCATTTGCTTCATAAAAGCATGTTGAGTCATCAATAGTAATGCCTTGTGAAACTTTCAATGCCTTTAGCTTTTCATAAGCATCCTGCATATGAACAATATAAGTCACACAGGACTATTACCAAAGCCATATTTCAAGAAATTAAAAAGCTACAAATTCTACAAACTTTGCAGGCTTACATATGTTTTCTGCGCTTTAGCAGTAATCCATTTTTTCGTTTTCTCGTCATAATTGACCTTGAGAAAAACTTCAGGAATGCTCACACTTCGTCCCAATTCTTTTCCCTAAAAAAAAAAGAAATGATGATTTTAAGAACTAGGGAGTGAAAAAAAATAAAAAATGAGACTAAAAACAAAGTAAATGATAAACTTACATAACGTCGTCTTCGCTCAGATGTAGAAATGGCACCCCCTCGATTCAAATAACCATCTTTATTAACAGCTATATTTTTCTTGTTCTGTTCAGACATGTGCAGGAAACTCGGATCTGATGCCCAGGTCTCCTTAAGTGCCTTTAGCACATTTCCAGGTAACCATGCTCCAGCCGATTTACCTCTACGAATGTCACTCAAGCTTTGGCGCACATAGGTTGCACATTTGTTTTTCCATATCTTCTTAATAGCGAGTCTTAGAGACCCCTTCAGATCGCCCAGGATAGTTAAAAATAGAGAGTCGGGGATTCTCAAATGACTCTCCACCATCATCATTACGCGGTACTCTTCTAATCCTTGTCTGGACGTGAGACTCAAAATAATATGAACAAAAAGTTGAGGTCTCCTCAAGGACGTAAGCTTCACAAATAGAACCCTCCACTCGAGCTTTATTTTTTACTTTCTTTTTCAAATGGTGCAGAAACCTGAAAAATAAAAACTTATATTAAACATGGTCTTATAAAGGATAATAAAAGAGTTAATTATAATTTAAACAGTTACCTCTCAAATGGATACATCCATCGAAATTGTACAGGACCACCAGTTATGGCTTCATACACCAAGTGTATAGGTAAATGTTCCATTACGTCGAAAAAAGCTGGAGGAAATATCTTTTCCAACTTACATAAAATGACAGCAATATTTTTTTCCATCAAATCAAGTTTACTTTGTTCCAAAACGGGACAACACAAATCTCGAAAGAAGCAACTCAACTCAATGAGAGTCTCCAAAATAGGACTAGGCAGACAACTGAATGCAATAGGGATCAACCTTTCCATGAAAACATGATTGTCATGACTCTTCATATGTTGCAATGTACAAGATTTCCAATCAACACACAAGCCCAAGTTAGAACCATATCCATCTGGAAGTTTAAGACCTTGTACCCATTCACATACTGGTAGTAGTTTTTCACCATGATTATGCCAATAATAGTAATGTGGTTGAAACCCTTTCCGGTATAAATGTTGTCTTACCTCATCAGGCTCATAAAACTTCAAACACTTACATTTTAAGCATGGACATCTAAACTTCCCGTCACACTTAAAGACATCAAGTTGAGTAGCAGCTGCAATGAATTCTTCTACTCCATATATGAACTCATGCAATAATTTATTTTGTCCAGGATCTTTCCTAATATACATCCAACGACGATGGTCTGGTACCTCCATCTATTCAAATAATATCAATACCAGGAAAAGGAAAAATGGCAACCAGGCACATGGAAAAATTGTTATAATTATTAAAGTATAATTACAAACACAAGATTATTGAAATACTGTTCTTACTTTCTTCACATACAATAAGAAGGATGCAAACACAAGACAGAATTGCCAAAAAAAAAAAAAAAAAAAAAAAGTTAAGAACACTCTAGCCTCTAGGAGCAATCTATTCATATAATATATTAGTCTTTTCATCGGATATCACAGGCACATTCCAAGTAAATTCCAGGTACATTCATTTTTTATCCGAACGACTCTCTCACTAACAGAAAACAAGGAATTAGATGGCAGAATAAAAAACCGAACACGAATTAACCAACAAACATTCATGAGTGAAGGAAAATCAAACCAGTACGAACAGATCAACAATGGCGGCCGTCAATGCAATTGAGAAATCGAAGTTACCTTAAGACAATTGATAAAGAACAACAACGGGATTGAAAGCGAACAAATGCTTCTAATCGACGGTGACTTCCAGCTCCTAATTGACGGCGAACTGCTCTTAATTGACGGTGGTCGGCTGCTTCGAAATGATGGAGAACGGCGAGGGATTTTCAGTAGGCAGTAAATTGCTGCTCCTAATTGGCGATGATCTGTTGGTTCTAATTGATGGAGAACGGCGACTGATTTTCAGGCGAGAGATGAGAGATTTTCAACTGGCATCGAATTTGAGATTGGGGAAATTTTTCTCCATTTCAAAGTAGGGCTCAACGTATGTGCGAGTGTTATTTCTTCCAAAGCCTCGTGTGATTTTTAGACTTCCGTATATTTGGAACCTTTGAAATGTTATGTTTTTTCAATTGAATTTTCCAACAGTTTTAATATTTGTTGGAATCATCAATGGAATTTCCAATGGAAATTTTTTCTGTTGGAATTTTCCGTTGGAATTAAGCCTTCTTCTTGTAGTG